TTTTACGACACTCAATTGAAAACTGCTCTGTTATTATCATTATTATGTACTCTAGATAATTGTAAGTCTTGTAAGCAATTCAATGGACAATTTTCTCGTTAGTAATTTAAATATCACTAATGAATTTATCTTGTTAGTAGTGTATTGCAAGCACGTTTGTAGTGTGCTTTTTGATGGAAGTATTTTTTCTTTTTTGTAACTGATTTGTGTTTAATAAAGTTAATTATCCGATTTAAGAAACTAAACTCTGTGCACCTTTTCGTAGCAGAAGGCGTCAAGCACAGGCATCCTAATTATTAAACTCATATTGCCGCCTCCAGTATAGAGGAGGGAGCTCACAGCTATCAAATGCTAATGGTTAGCGCGCAGGCCTGGGCTCCAGATTGAACAGTCGGTCAATGTGTTCTGTTCTCTCTTTACCCCTCCCATTGAAGGATGACCCCCCCACCCTTCAATGGACTAGCATTCTACACAGCCTGGGTTTGGAGGGAGGGGGACAGGCAGCTACATCAGAAAAATTACATAGCATATAGCCGATTAACAGGGTCTCGATTGGGATCTTTGAGCAAACAACAAGCTATTTAAAAAGAAATAGAGGTTTCGTCTCCTGGAATTATTAGGATGTTGGGGAATTGGGGGAGACGTTGATGCTGCCCGGTAAGACCTGAGCAGTATTACATTGTTACAGAAACTACTCCTTTTTTCTCCAATACAATGATAACTATGAAAAAAATCTCAAATCTGGTTAGTTATGGGCACGCCCCAGGCATGATTATTTGGTAGCAGGACTTCATTCGTCTTATTCGGTCTCTGATTTTATTCTTGATTAAAAAAATCGAACTCCAGTCAAGCAGTCGTCAGATTTTTTTAATTACTCGTATGCCGATTGTAGACCGAATTGGACCACTCACCCCTATGAGTGGCGATCATGTTGGCAATATCTGAACAACATGTGCTCATCACCTTGTTTGTCTACCCATGTAGAATTGCATGTCGAACATGTTGCCACGAACGAACTTCACTCTGGTTGGATTGTCTAACCGTTAGACAATCCAACCAGAGTGAAGTTCGTTCGTGTCTTTGCTTCAGAGGTGAAGTTCACCCCTGAAGCAAAGACAACGCCGTTTAGTAGGAGTCGACTGAAAGGCTATTTTAAATAATAGCACCTTTAAAGGCAACATATTCAAAAATATTTACAAGCCTGAGAAAATCTCCGAGCATATTTTCGCGCCAAATGGATGCTACTGTTTATATATCGCCCAAACCGTCTCGTCCACCGCGGAAAAAGCGATTGCGTGACACTGGTAAGTTATAAAATGGCATGTTATCACGCATTTGAAGAAAAAAATAGTCTTTATTCTCAGTCTCCGTTTTGTACCTAGTCTGCAGTCTGCAGTCTGCATTTACCTTGTCTACATTTTGTCACGGTACCCGGTCTGCAGTCTGCATTTGGTACAGACCGGTCTTGTCCCCAAACCTTTTTCGGTAGCGGTAGGTAGGTGGATACGTCGTGTATAGGGCACAAACTGTACTAGAATACGCTAGCTAGATCTCGCAGGTCGCCCGGCTCACGAAACAGGAACTACTCGACTTCTGTATTTCCTGGTGGGAACTGCACGAAAAGTTTCTGAAATCATGGCTACTGCTAAGTTTGACGACATACTAATGGGAATACTGCAGCACTGCGAACAAGTAGAACCTTTTCTTGATGCAATTTTTAGCTTTTTAGCTCGCAGAACGGACTTCTTTCAGGTGATGCACGATCGAAGTGACAAGATGGGATTCCCTCCAGGTGTCGCCGAGAAAATTGTTTTGAAGGTAACCTTTAAGGTGATGGTTATGCTAACAATGCAATCGTTAAGAGGAGGTAATTACTAGTAGTACAGTAACATGCTTCAAAATTCATTTGAGAACAAGCATTTAGTGACATGTTTAGACGAGTTAAAATCAATGCTTTATTTGTAAGTAAGCATTCCTATTATAAGCGGCCACCCTCGGGGAAATGGATAGTGGTCGCTTAAAAGGGGTTGGCCGCTTAGTAGAGGTAAAAACAATAGAAAAGCCCTCATCTGGACTTAAATTACTGGCCGCCTAATAAATGAGTTGCCAGTAATCGGATACCCGTGTTTGCGCAACGAACTTTGGGATGGTCAGGGGGCAAACATTGCAAGTCGCTAGAAGGAAATGTATGGCGAAAAGTTGTTTTGACGCCCAAAAACATGGTTTTGGGAACAGATCAACGCTTTTTCGCCGTTGTTTTATCACAAATGGATTTTGGCAATGTTGATACATGGAAAATGTAAGATTTTGTTTGAATAATCATGAAATAAGAGATACAATTTACCGATAAACTCCCTTTTGCTTGCGTGAGGTTTATTGTGAAATACATTGAAGAGAGTATTGAAAATTTCGATACACGCCTAATCTCGAGAGGCTACCCGGAGCAAATGGTAGAAAAGACACTCCAAGAAGTTAAATATAAAGACAGAAAAGAAGCTGTAAAACAGATATTGAAAATTGCAGAAGGAACTACTACCCTTTGTGTCGGGCAATTTCACTCAATCGTCAATACCAAACTTTGGAAAGCATAATCATGCACAAATGGCA